CCAGTCGCTCACCATCACTCTCGCACCTCCCCCCCCCCCCACACACACAAACCCAATACACCGAGAGTGGAAGAAGTATCCGTGGTTGTGGTGGTCCGCATATCGTCGCCGTACCGCCGTACTGCAAAAAAGGAAATCTGCGCTGCGCTCCCGTGCGCAGACACAAGACGCAGAGCCGCCTTGCACACGGCCGTCTGCGTCTGTGTGTATGTGTGTGTACGTGTATGTATGTTGTTACAGGGTGGTTAACTTCGCCAGCGGCCCCCTTTCCCGGGGCAGTCCCTGCTCTCCCCTGCTAGAGGGGCACCCTAATCCGTCACCCCATCCGACTTCAGAATGTATTCGTTGGGTTCGGCAACTCACCACCAGCATCCAACCAAATCTAGCGGATCAACGGCGCATCAACTTAGTTCCTGGTCAGCTCGCAAGTTGATATTATCACGTCCTACACCGTCCATATGATGGGGGGCCACCTCCCATTTCATCACTCCTCAAACACCCGAGGAGCTGGCAGGCGGATTTGAACCCGGGTCGACTGGATCGACTGGGAGCAGAAGTCAGGCCTTAACTTCTGCCAGCCGCCTGCCATAACGTGTATGTATGTGGGTGTCGGGGGTTTCGCTCTACAATACACGAGACAGCCTCGCGGCCCCCACGGCCCAGCACCCACCGCACATGGCACGATGAGCACCCATACACGGCGTCACCACCCAACGAGCCACTACGCAGGGGAAACGCACCCGGCCACCACACCCATTCCCCCCCCCACCACGCTCCTCAGCCCCTCTTTTAAAGGCAAAACATTCGGTCGCTCATCCCCCGGGGGATATTCATCCCCCCACTACCGCCACCGCCGCCCCCATCGCGGCCCGGACCCCGACCCCGGCCTAGCCAAAGCATAAACTGCTGCGCCGCCGCCTCCGCCGCCTCCGCCGCCGCCTTTCACCACGTCCCCGCCGGACCCTCCGGCACCACCACCACCGCCGACCGGCACATGTGCGACCAGGCGATGCTGCAGAACTGCGCAAGACGGGGAAGGAGCCACGTCAGCGCGGACCAGAGCTCCGGAAGGTGCTGTACGGCACGTACGAGCATATCCAGCTGGCCGTCACCGAGCGGACGATTGCGCCAGGAGCTGCACACCACCGCCACCGCCACCACCACCACATCGCCGCGCGGCGGCAGCAGGAAGAGCGGAAGGGGGGAGGGTATAATGTACGACATGGGGGTGGGGGGGTGGGGGGGAAAGCGGGGGGGAAGACGGGATGGTAAAACACAGGCAGTGTGCGGTATGAGGGGGGCGAGGAATTCCATCTTCACGGGCACTGCCACACGCGGGGTTCGTATCTGTGTGGGGGTAGAGTACCAGGCTGACGTGCATTACAACACAAGTACGGCAGGCAAGCCGGTAACACCCTCTCCCCTCCCCTCCCCTC